AAAAAAATGCGCAGAGCAAACATATTCCCCGACATCGTTGAACATTTCACGAAAAAAATTCCAAAAGATCGCTGGCGGGATTATCTCAATATCAAGATTTTTGGATATACTGTACTAAAAAACTTCATGAAGCCTTCGTTTTGGTCGTGGTGTTTCCGAAAAGACCCATGAAGTCAAGATTTGTTTTAAAGAACAACTGGAGATGGGAGAAATACTTCTATGCATAAATTTATAATTCAAATCACATCCTTCCACGCCTGCGATCAGAAAGTAGAGCTTGCACTCATGCTTCCTCGCAGAGAAAATGCGCAAATTCCTCTCGTTTTTATACTTTTTATGGGAAATTCAGCATGGAAAGTAAAGCTAATGCAAAATCAACTACAGTATTCCACGTCAGCAATTAAAAAAAATCAGCTGAAAATTGCGTGACGCACGTGGGTTCAACTTTACAGACTTCCGCCAGGTGAAGTACTGTACAGTAAAATAATACACTCAAAACGATTTTGTATTCCGTGACCCCCAGCAGTATCATTGAGGATATTCTTTCTGTGAGCTCTTCAGGTGTGCAGTTATTGCTCAGTACAATATTTTACTTTTCTTAAATTTATCCCGCCTACTAGTAAAGCTAATAATCTAGATATGGACTCACTCTACAACGAAATCTGAGACATGAATTCGCTGTATAGAAAATTCTGTCGCAGAGAACCCCTACACCAAGGGGGAACCATACCGGAGCCCAAAAGGAATTCGTTTTACAGTACTGCAAAAATCGTTCCAGCGAAGATCGTTGCAGAAGGAGAGTCCAACTGTACTGAATTGCGACTGTAATTTAAAATTTCCAAACCCATGCGTGCCTCACACAAATGACGCATCAAATCGGCTCGTCTCCGCTAGAATGGAGAAAATTTTGAAAATACAAAATTTCCTACAACGTTTCATCTTCCTGAGGAACTTTTATTACATCCGCAAATTCACGAAAAAGCAGATTATAGTAAAACAATTTAATCAGTGAAACCAAGGATAATCAATAATGATGCGTCTCGAAGGGGTATCTCGTGAGTTCGAAAGATTTCAAATCAAGTTCCCAACTCCCACCTCATTAGGAGCTCCCTACTTCAGAGACGGAAGAGAAGGGAAAATGTTTTTAAAATTATTTTTAGGGATCGCGACGAGTTATCACGCCACTGCACACTTGAAAGAGCTCACAGGGACAATTGTCCCAGTGAAATAACCGTATTTACTGGAGTACACCGCGCGAACGTTTTCCTCAAATTTGAGAGAAAAAAAGTGGACCATTGGGTATAAATACAGCGGTATAAATTTTTCAAAAAGCTATTTGGACACTTGGGTGTGTATTATACTCTACTTGATTCCAATAGGAAAATTTGGATCCAGTGTAACAGAAAATCTTTTTTTTTTTTTTTTGCTGATGGAAACATTTGTAAGTTAATTTAATTCATGTTCAATTCATGCATAAATTCAAATTTGGGTTTTATTGCTTTTGAAATATTGTTGGTTTACAGTCACTAAAAACGGGTTACGCATCTTACTCAGCGATAGGATTTCATCGACATTTTCAACTGAAACATCCCAGTGCGCGTAGTACTCGATTAAATCGGTACTCAAGGCCACAAAATTTCAAGTCAACCCAATTGGACTACAAAAAGCAAAAAACAAAACACGCGGCTCCCAAACAAGACTCTAGAAACCGTCCCGCCAGAGATGGAAAAAAAAATTCGAATTATTTCCCATGCATCGCATAAAACCATACCGGTGAAGTTGATAATCAGATGCGTCGGCAGCAACGGCGACGTCGAGGCCGGGTTGACAGTCGCCTTGTCGGTCCGGCTGTCGAGCAGGACTCGCGCCACGGTCCAATGATCCGAATGACCCCCGAGTACCACCAGCAAGTTGAGCAGGAGACGTTCGCAGTGGTCATGCACCAACTGTCGGGCGTGGTCCAGGCCCAGGAAAATCATGTGCAACATCGTCGGCAAGTGCACCCACCAGTCCACTCCCGGCAAACCCGCGACGACCACGTCCGAGAGGAACATCACGGCTAGGTTCGACCTACACACGAGATGGGGATAGGGATATGAATAGAAGACGGGGAGAGACTCTTTCGCACAATCTCTCGCATATGACATAAATCGGGCCGGATTTTTATCGCGATGCCCCGGGGGGGATGCGTCTCGTTTCAAGTCTGAAGAATGTATTGAGGATTATTCCACTGTCTCACGGGACAACTTTTGAGACTGACGACGTGGATCAAATATGATCAACGCGGAAAGTCCAAAGCGAGACATTTTCAAAGCGTTCTGTAACATTCATTCCTTCAAGTTGAATCGGTTCTCACTCACTTCTCGCCATCGATCACTCAAATTTGATGTACCGTAATCTAGAAGAACGGAGTTAAAATACGAAAATTTAGATGGATAAAAGCAGTCATCTGACGATGCTTTCATGGGAGCACTGCTCGGATTGTATCAGAAAAGGTCCTTTTTTTTTTAGAAGTATTTCGTGACATTTTTATCATTGAATCCAATCCTTGAGAAAGGTGCTCAGATGATTCACGTTCAAAAGACGGGAAATCAGGAGGATATAGCACATCACTCTAAAAATATTTAAGGTTGATCATTCAGCTTAGATTACGAGGGTTGTTCAACAATTTTGGCCGGTGTTGTGCTGCCACTGCATGTCTCAGATCGCAAAATAGAAATGGGCGTAATTTTTAAAGATACAAGTGCTGACTGAACATTCCGGAAGCAGATTTTTGGCAGCGATTTCAAGAATAAAGCTGTGATGGTCGCAAAAAAGTTAAATATTTTTGAAAAAATACATGATATTCAAAACTTGAGTTTTCACAAGATTTCGGGATAATATCTTGGGACAGATTTTTGTGTTTTTCTCATAAAAGAACGCATCCTCTGGGTTCGTCGCTGGAAGTTTTTTTTTTTTTTTTTTTTTTTTTGGATTGCGGTGTGATCGTTCAGCAAAATTTTTTCAAGTACTGTATAAGTAGCTTCCAAGTTTTACAGCACACTTTCTCTAAAAAAAAATACCGCGCCCGGATTTCCGGATTTTCTACTGAGCTTTTATAATACTGTATAAAAACGTAGCCTATACGCGCGTAACTTTTATATTACAGTAATTACAAAACTATGATTTCTCCTCAAACATTCCTTCTGAATGTTTCAATCAATCGATAACTGTCTGGAAACTGGCTAAACTTGTACTTTCAATTGTGGTCACTAATTGCCGGGTGTTGTGCATTTTCGTCGAAAACGTCCCGAACAAAGAATTCAGGCATTTACCGTATATGTAGTATGTACAGTACTGTGATGTATATTTACTGTATATGCATATTTTTTCGGATGTGTGTGTGTGGGTGGCTGGGGGATGGGCAAAATGTTTTGAACCTCGCGAACGCTGACAATTGGCAAATAAAGCACATTTAACAAACAATCAATCAACAGAACTAATCCAGCGTCTCCTTAGAGGGCATCCGATTATGTACAGATGACCTGCATCATACTCCACTGTAAGTTCGCAGCGCCGTGGAGAAAAAAAAAAGAATCGAATCAAGAAAGCCGCCGGACTATGCATTGTAAATTATGGAAAGTGACGATGAAAGGATTTCTGCCTCACCGATGAAATTGTGACGGCGTTTGCGAGCTCTCCGGCAAATAAACCGAGAGAGGAGCGAAATAGCCACCGTATTCCGGCATTGGTAGCGGCCTTGGATGCGAGATCTCATCACCCTGCTGATGCTCCCAACTGACTCGTCCTTTTTTGCCGGATGATTCGCTTTGTTGGCGACGGAAGAACGAAAAGTTGTCTTCTTGCTGAACCTTCAACACGGATGAAACAAAGCGGGAGATTTACATTACTGAAATTGTAACCAATAATCGCTCGATTCGTCAAATATTCATATTCTGCACGAGGATTGATATACAGTATTCCACTGGTCTCGTATTCTGAAAAGATTCACTGGCTTCTATTCATTTTGGCCAAGTCTGAAGCCCCTTTGCACACGGATTATTTCCCTTTCTTCAACGTATATGCCATACCAGAACTGGACAAGGCATAATTGTACATATTAGATTCTTTGTAAATGTTTAATTCGAATATTTTTCCCAAAAAAAATCCGACTGCACGTATGAAAAATCTAATCGAATTAGGTTTTCGAAAATATCATTTTCATGAAAGTCCCTGCAGAAGGAAAATAAGTAACGAGATTTTCACGAACGTACATTGATCATTGCAGATCGGTCGAACTGATATTCTAAAAATGACCTGGACAGTGTACTGATGGAAACACAATCTAATTCATCATTTTGACAGAATGACCAACTTCTTACAAAAATGTAACAGTACATTTCAAAAATGAAACGAAAATTAATTTGAACGACTGTTGATGGTCTGAAAGCGCCAGGTTTCACAAAACCAAAGAGGAAAGACCTAGATAACTGAGCTGCTGCAGATCTCCCAAGAGGCAAAAAAAAAAAACTGATCAATGTAAAATTCGACGTTAATTTTGAACATGAGCGTTAAATCAAGTTTTTTCCAAAAATAAAATAATGGAAGTGTTTTAATTCGAGGTTTGACAATACACGGGACTTCCATTTCGATGCAGGCATTGAAAATACTGCGAAAATAGCTTTTAAATTCACAGGTTAACAAGGCACTGTACTGTAGTTGGTTTCATGCACAGAAATTCACTTCACATTTTAGTAAAATTATCTTTTGCTCAAAACACGCCATCACGTCTCGTAGTAGTGTGTAATTTTCCTGACATAATTCCATTCTCTTTTTTTATGTGGAATCGGCTATGAAATTTATTTCAAAGGTCTCGAGTACGCTTCTCTGGATGTCGATTTTAAACAGTACATCAACTTGGCTGCCCAAAAATTGTGCAGGGGAAATACAATCGATTAACAAAATAACAACATCATCCACAACGTTTTTACCCAAGTTGACAAAAAATACAACGAATGAATAAGGAATCAACAGATCAAAACTTACCCCTGAATCATCATGCGACGCAGCGTAAAGATTCCGCACCGTCGAACGATCCGCTCTGGTCACAACGCTGCCGCCGCTAGACAAGCTCGAAGCACCACTTCGAATAGATCCACTTGCCTGCAGATCCGCTTTAAACCTGCGACAAAATTTATAAAAAAAAAAAAGGAAGAAAAGAAAAATTAAATCAGACGGAGAAATTATACGAAGATCCTCGATATCGCAAATGACGCGGGGATGCGACTCCCTCGCACATCACAGCGCAACGCAGATTCTAATAACGCGAAACAGGAGCATCTTGCGATAGGAAAACCCCATACTTTTTTCCCCTGCTCTCACGTGACATCATGGAACGGACTCCAAAATAAGATCTTTCATACTCGATGTGATGCAGAAATAGAAAATACATTCCATGTCAAGTCACGGAAACTCGAGAAACGCGACCGTGATCGGATTACAAACTGATGCAAAAATATCAATTAGGGATCAGTTTCATTCTCTTGCGTCGCAATAAGCTCAACGAACAACTAGACGTTGGTTGATCGCAAATTCTGCCCAGACGCGTACTTCGAACCTTCATGATGATCTCTCGAAGGCTTCCAATGATATACATTAGTCGTATTTCTATGGAGACTTTTTGCTTCCTGAAGACCTCGATATGATAAAAATTCTTTTGGACAATATTTGCGAACACTTCGCGAAGAACGCTTTCACACTTGGAAACAATCTTAAGATTGAAATACTTTCACGCGATAAGCTTTGTGTTTCAGAAGAGCTTCAGACGAAAATGTGCACTTGCTTTTAGGCCACTTCGAATTTCCTCTCGAATGAAAAATAAAGGAACTTTTTTTAGCAGCATTTTCAAATCGCAAAATATTCGTTCCGAGGTATGTATTACAATTATCGTGAGACTTAGTTTCATCACAGCAACAATTTTCAGTTCGTAATTCAACTTGTGATACAAAATACGTTTCATTTTGTGTTTCACAGGGAAAATTGCTGAGACGAAAGATTTCTACCAATATTTGATCTTATTTTAAATTTCAGGAGGAAATTATGCTGAAATATATTTCAGAAATAATTAAATAAAAACACGTTCAGTGATTCTGCATTTAAAAATTGAAGAGGTCCGTTGTCGTGAAACAACGTCCTTAGCGGGCAGGAAACATTTTGCATGCCCCGGTGACCAGCTTGGCAAGGACAAAATACAAAGAAAACTAAGTCGAATCTCTCTAATTTTTCCATTTGAAATAAGTACTGTATACTCTTTTACCGTTTACAGGGATGAGGAAGTAATATTTTACTTCTTGAGGATCTTGCGAAAAATGCACGCTCCTCAAACCCGCTATATGCATGCATGGGAATGTTCATCAATTCTGCCGGTACCTCGAAATATGTCAACAGGACGTTTTTGATTCGCAAAGTTAATTAAAAGAAACGCAAGAAAATAGCAGTCTTGACTTGTGGAAAGCTTGATGTATTCCCCGCTGATTTGAGATAGATTTTCAGAACTACTGTAATATCCCATCAGACAAAATGACGCTGATGATTGAGCTTCTCCAGGAAGCATTTTTTTTAACACGAACACCTGAATTGAAGTCCTCCGAATAATTTGGACATCAATAACAAGATTTGAGGATCATCTCCAGTTCTCGAGAAATATTTTCCACCTCTTCCCCAAATTTAGCAACTTGTTGCAAGTTCACCTGCTGTTATAACCTTCCGTCTCGACATTACTAAAAAACACATTCTTTAAATGAAAAATTATATTTTCTCATAGATAAATGGTTATACGATACCTGAAAAGATAGTTTCTCGTAAGTTAGTTTCTCGTGAAACTTGGTGGATGTTTGAACGCCCAAAAATTGACGAATGATTTCAACATGATAGACACACCTTCGATTCATGAACAGAAGAGGTGCACTTTCGGCTCCATGTTTAATCCCCATTACAACACATTCGAGAAAATATTCGAATTGAGGCCAGGAAATACAATATTACTCGAAGAAAATTGCATCAATCCCTGTCTACCTTGGTCCATCCAAAAGGGAAGAAGAAAATAAAACAAGAAATGTTTAAAAAGGTAACAACTTCGAAGAACTTTCACACCCAACACAATTATTCCAAACATAAAATAAATAAATAAAGTCGAGCGAAGCTTCATACATATTTCGAGATTTTTTACATTGTATTTGTCAAGCATTTCCCGGAGTCCAGCATTCAGTCAATTGTAAGTTCAATTAAACCACCGCATTTTCGACTACGGTTCTGCTCCAGTAATACTGTAGTTGATCTACAAACTTTCAAGAGCACATAAATATAAAGGTTTGCTCTTTGGTAACCTACAACCTTTTAACTAAAACTTGCTGCGTGTATGCAACCGCCCTTATTCAGCACTCCAGGTAAATATGGCAATGATCTTCATCATAGGCCCTCAAAAAGGTTTCTCCCAAATTCAACGACTCGCGAAGTCGTTTATCTTCTTCACTGCCGTCTAAATGTGCTGCTCGAAAAATGTGACACAGCCAGACACCAGCTGCATAATTCTGAAGGTCACCTGAACATGATACCACAGCAGTACGCGGGGTTCCAACCTTATGCCTTGCATTGTCAATTATTTTTTATACACATTATACGTTCTTGCATCCAACTAAAAGGAAATACGACGGTTTCTGATTTCCTCATACTGATTGATATTTGGGATAAAAAAAATTATAAAATACAGAATAGGTTCGTAAATCATACTTTAAAATTTAAATAATTCTTAAGACTAGTCTGGATCCTTTCTTGCCTCTCACATTTATAGAAATTCAGTCTTTGGTACCATGGATGACGGAAGAAAAAATTAGCTCAGTTCATCATATGCACCCATTTCATAAATTTCGTGATTCCAGGCTTGATGTTGGATGATTTCCTGCATGGTTGACGGCAAACATAAGCAAAGACGACAAACATGCTCAAATTGGCGATGAATACTGTACGTCGAAACGGTGTAAAAGGAGAATAAAATCAACAATGACATATTCCAATCGACAATTCATTCATCATACTCAAGGAATAAAACTTTTCTTTTACTATCCCAGACTGGGGTTATAGAGATTAACTTCGACAACTTCTGGTGTATTTGTGATGAAAATTGAATTTCAAAAACTTTTTGTGATGGAGAGTGCTTTTCTTCAAGTGGGCTGTTGAGATTTCAAGAAGAAAAATATTACGTAAGCATGCAAAAATTATTCTCGTACTGTAGTTACGTCAGTTATTTCTGCGTTCAATAGCTATGAAAACATGAGAGGAAACCGAGAGAGTCCCAATCCAAGACCGACTTCGATGTAATGATCTACCTATGATCAAGGAGAGTCCTTCAAACAATGCGCAACTCACGTAACTTGACCCGAATTCGGTTTCCGCGAAGAAATTGTTCCTTCGACCTTGGAAGAAGAGTAATGCTTCAACTGGTGAGGCAAGGGCATTATAACGATCACCGTAGCGTCGAAGTATTTTCTGAGGCCACGTCGTTCGACAAAAAATTCCCGCACATTCGCAAATTTTGGTAATAAACAAGATTAGATGAGGATCTTCGGCGAATAAGTTGAACGCAGAAGAACTAAGATGCTTTCGTCGGAGAGACTGAAAGTCACACGCGATTACCAGAGGTATTCCATCACAGTTTCTAGGTGATTTTCTTCACTTTTTTTGTAATCCGCCTCATTTTCTTCCAAACTTATTCATTCATTCATCATTATTTGTCAAAACTTGAGTCTTGGATGGAGCATAGAGAAGGCATGATGAGATAAGCATTGTAAAATTGCAGGAAATCTTATCTCTGTCAGTCATTTCCCTGGCCCATCGTCAAAATTTGTCAGCTCGACAGGGCCTTCATCAGCGAGTATATGATTTTTCACCAAATTTTCGTAAAAATTCCAAGGAAATTCCTGCCCGAACTCCCACGGCTTCTTTTGTATATCTTTCTGTAGAGGTGAGCTTCGCATCACGTCAATTTTAGGAGAATTTTATTGTTTTGGCGATCGAATACGTGCTATAAATAAATACACAGGTGGAATATTTCAACGACAATATTTTCGACAATGATTTCTTCTGTATAACAATGAATGTTGTCCCATAAGGTTTTCTCCCCATGCATTATCTGCAACGAATTTTTTCTGGCTTCCTGAATAAAGAGAGCCCACCTGTGCAATTCCTAAACTGTAACGTTCAACTGAAACTATTTTTCACACCTTTCTTCTTCGAAAGACCACGAGGGAAGCCACATTCAGCATGTCACTAGGTTCGGACATAATGTATGCAGAAATTCTAGAGAAATTTTCACTTTTTTTAAACTTTTTGTATAAAAAAAAAACTCAGCTCGTCAAAATATTCAGAAGAAATGTGTCACTCCATCGAAATGTTAGGAAAGACCCACGAACTGCGATTTTTACATTTTAAGAAAAGATCGCTTCAACTACGCCACAGCGAAAATCAAAAATCCGAGATATTTTACTTCCGATTAGACGAGAAAATTGCCAGGACTTCCTTGCATTCCTTCCCTCGAACGCAACACGGGGAATGAAAATGAAATTCGTCGGGAAATTCCGAGCGTCGGATTGTGCAAAAAGAGCTCGACTCAAGATCCAGCTCGATCTTAGCGTCGCATCGCTGAGCTCAGAAAACGCAATCCTCGACTCCCTCGCAGAACAACGGATCAGTCAATCGAAACCATCAGAATGAGAGGAAGGTGGAGTTTCCCGGAAAATCGCAGCCCGCCTTCGGAAAGATGCTTTCTCGCAACGGAGATTTGAGAGAGCTCCGGGGATACAACATCGGACTCCGAATTAATATCGAGTTGAGAACTCAATTACTGGATTGCCGTAATCACTAGTCAGTATCATGCACGTCAAGTTTCCTCTTCGTGGAAAACGGAACTCGATTCGAATAAAAGGGTTCGAGCGAGAATCTGAAGGGAAAAAAAAATCTCGAGACATTTTTGCTGTGGTCGAAAGGCGGTCAACGGCTCCATTAAATGTCGAATTTCCCCAGAGCCTGCCTGTGATTGCTTGCCCTTCATTTAGTTGGTTGAACCTTTCCAAGTCGAATTTCAAGGGACCAGCAAAAAAATTCGACTTGGGGAGGTTTCGACTAAGGGAGGTTCGGAATTATCGAGGTTTGAGCTACAACACATAGCTCTTTTGTTCTGGGAAACATAGAAAAATAGCCCAAAATTGTAAATGACGATATTCTCGGGCTTAAATTGCTTATTAAATGATTTGAAAGGATATTAAACTTGTAGGCAGGGGTTCATTTGCCCAATCAAGTCCTTCACTTCCTTTTCAGACACATCAATTTTTAATTGTATTGCTTTTTTATTTTTGTGTCGATAAAATCATAACCAACAGGCCACAGAAAATTCGACTTACAGAGGTTTGAGGGGAAAAGCCTTCGATTCAGGGAGGTTTTGTATGCGTTGTTTCCAATGGGATTCAGAGGGGATCAGAAAAAATTCGACTTATGGGGGTATTTGACCTAGGGAGGTTCGAGTTATCGAGGTTCACTGTATTGTATTAACGCTTACAGTACTTCACGATCTAAGTTTAAAAGAACGCGAAAAGAGGCTGTCGAATTTCGGAAATTACGGTGATATCTTTCTCTTGGGGGGGGGGGGGGGGGGGGGGTCTTTCTTTAAAAAAAAAAAAAGGGGGGGGGGGTGGGTGGGGGGGGGGGGGGGGGGGGGGGGGGGGCTCTTTCTTGAAAAGAAATAAATTTTAATAGCCCTGTTTTGTTCACGTGAAGGACACTTTAACCTCCAACCATCGTCAAGTCCCATCACAGATTGAAGAATTATTTCGGTGTCTTCAACCGATCGTTTTGGAAGTCTTTTTCATCTGACAGAAGTGCAACGCCCGAAAATAGTCCAAAAAATTAATATTTTCATCGATTTACTTCTTGCATTTGTTTTCAGCTATACAAGCGAGAAAGGTTACGAACTATTTTAAACCGAGAACCCCACGACAAATTAATGCAGAGGCTCATGACACCCGAATTTTACGAAGAGATGCATAGGCTACAGAGACCCACGAAAAAATGTGGATACTTCCGGAAGTTCCAAGCATATAAGCTCATGTTTTTGGAGAGCGAGAAAACGGGAGAAATGATGATATTATAACTTCTCAGCATACACTTTCTGTCTGGTGGCGGATAAGGAGGATACTCTCAGGAATTTCCCATTGTGATTCATTCCCTTCAAATTTTAAAATGCCACAGAGAGATAGAAACCGTTCTCTCGAGGAGAGCACCATTTCCTTCTCAATTCTCCCATTTAGACGGACAATAATTGCCCTCCCGAGGATGCGGGCCGTCATTTCCTCTGAACCCAAGAGCCAGTCTCCAGTCATAATCCACACATGGCCCAATATTTCCCGTTTTCATACCCATGGCACCCAACACTGGCTGCTGGTGCCATGCAGAACTTCGTCCCTTCTTTCCTCCGTCCGCAAGCTATGCATTTCATAACTTCTACAAAAGTTTATGCTCCTGAACTTACCAAACTGTCATATCCATGCTGGTGATTTATTGGCACAAGGATCAATTGGACCTACATAAATTGATATCGGATTTGCGGGAAAGGTAGAATCAATTTACTGCACAAGCCCCTCTAATCGTCGTGCGTCAAAAAATGTAAATCGCCTCCGAATCTAAGACACACTTCCATTACAACGCGTAGATTTTCAATTCCTTGCAAATCGCAGCAGCCCGTTGATTCTCCTCAACTCATGCATAAACCAGCAGAACCTCCTCGAATAATCCCAATGGAAATTCAGATTCTAGCCCTCGCACGAATTTTAATTCCAGGAAATTTTCATTGAAAAGATTACCCTATGCAGAAGCAATCATGCATTCCATAGACCTGAGACGCTATCAAGTGCAAGATTTCAATGGATACATCACGCACCTAATTTCTTTGCCAATTTTAGCAGACAATTAAAAAAAAACTGAAAGTAAAGTGCGTCCTAAATTTGAGAAAAAAACAAGAACTTTTTTTCCACCGACAGCGCAAAAAGCGAATTAGGAAACTAACTTTTCAGCCTCTCACGAGCACCTAAAATAAATATTGTAGTACATTAATAATTACGAGAAATTGGAGTGTGTGATTTTTTGTTGATGTCTCAAACTGCATAATAAATGGGTTGCAGCGCTGGGACACAAGGGTTTCATTTGCTCAATCAGCCCATTTTCTTCGAAAAACATCAAGTTACATTTTCATTGTTCTTTCTCTTTCCTGCGCCAATGTAATAATAGCCAAAAGGCCTCCAGTAAATTTGATTCACGGAGGTTTGAGGCGGAAATCCTTCAATCTAGGGTCGTTTTTAATGCATTTTATCTGAGAGACTTCAGACAGAAACTTGAAAGAAAAATCGACACGGAGGGATTGGAGTCTTTGAGGTGAATTCAAAAAAAAAAAAAGAGTAAATCTCTCGCAAAAGGCAAGAAAAGTCCCTTTTATGAACGCAGGAGATTAAAGGGATAGCGGGAAAGGCTCATCAATGATGACTCACTCTTGAAGCCGACCGCTGTCTTCGGAAAGCTTCTTGTTTGTCGCGCCCGACGCAGACCGTTCTCTGACGGTACCTGCCGAGGGGCTGGCAGACGTGCCGCTGGACGTCGGCGGCAATTCACTAGTGACGTTGGCTGACGATGGCGGGGCCAGCAGTGTCGCAACTGTCGACACAGATTCGTCCATCACACCGGCGCCGTTTTCAGAATGCGTCGAGCCCTTGCGGACGCAAGTGAGCCGGAAAAACGGCGGCCGTTCCATTCGTTCGATGAGGAAATTTAGGGCCTCCACAGTCTGCAGCTCGGCCATCAATTCGTCCACGAGATGCGACGGCCTCGAACGACCCATATACAACACCACTCTTTTCGACTGAAAAAGAAGAAGAAGAAGAAGAAGAAGAAGGGGGGGGGGGTGGAGAAAACGGGGATAATATCATGTATGAAAGGACGGCGATCCAAACAACTCCACAATAAAGGTTACACTTCGGATCACGGGTAAGCTTTCGGTTCATTGAAGATGAATGCACGACCGGTCTTGCTTTCTGAAACGTCTGGAAAGGGTCGGAAATTCCAAAAATTCTTCTTTTCCGATGTGACTGAACCCTGGTTTTCTGTGATACCGTCATTTTTTTTATTTACAGAAAAAAGGTTTAAATTTAAAATTTACTCTAATAAAATTTGAAATCAATTGCTTAGTACAGTATTTGTTTCTGTTTCAAATTTCCATCTGTTAGTTCAATTTAAGCGTTTACTAATACTAATCCAATTCTTTCTTTCTATTTTGCTGAATATGTTTGTGTGTTTCGAGTGCGACACACACATTAAAATGTACAAAATTTGCAAATAAATTATACGCGGCCCCTATTTTTCGATCCCAATTTTCGAGGGATAAGGTGCGAGTGGTGCTTTACTATACAGTATACGGTAGCTCACATTTGACAAAAACAATAATTACATGACATTTTTATGATTTAAAAGAATTCCGGCGGTCGGGGACGCTTGGCTCTCAAGTAAAAATAACCGTTTTCTCTTTGTTTTAATTGGCAGAAATGTAATTATCGTTGACAATTAATTTTTCTTTCTCCAAAAATTTTCAAGCTACGCATGGATGTAGAACAGCAGTAAAAACAATCTGAGTTCACTTTTTTTTTCTTCATCGTTAGAAAATGCTGCTTGCAATTCGCCCGTCAATTATTGATGCAAGACGAATAATTATCCGCTACTTATATTCACGCCACGCATTCACTCCTGGGAGGGTGTTAGTATGTGAAATACTTTGAGCTTTCGTTATTTGCAGCAGCAATGAATTAAATATCCAATCATGCTAAGGCAACCAGCAATTCGAAAATAGGACTCGATACGCATTCACGACCGAGTATTTACAAACATCGCCGATAAACTAAATCGAACAATCGCAGAAAAGTACAGTGCGTTTACTGAATAACACTTTGCATTATTTCTGCACTTCACCGACTCGACTGCCGGTGCTTGAACGGAAGTCGCGGGTGAGGTTTGGGCTCCCGAGGGAAGAGGGAATGGGCGATTTTGTTGGGTACTACGGGTGGGCTGAGCACGAAAAGAATGTTTCCTGAAAGTAAACGCTTTCTGATTCATTAATCTTTTCTCTTTCCTTCCAGACATCCGAATTGCTCCATTTTCTTTTCTATCCATGCGACACTGATCCAACCAAGGTTTTACTTTCCATATATATATATAGTGTATATATATATATATATACTGTATATATGTATATACCCCTGGAAATTGACGGAACTCCCTTCTAATTGCCTCACATGCGGAATGCAAGAAAACCCAAAAAGAGGTCGACTCTTTTCTGCGTAACGCCTGGAGAGAGCGTAATACTGTGTGCCAAGAAAATTTGCTCAAGGAAGGCAGCAGAAAAAATCAACTCACAAAAGGGAGCAGCCGATCCGGCGCCATGCCCGTGACGATCAGCAAGTACCGCAAAATCACACGAAGATTATTCGGCCAGCAGGAACACAACGAGGACCAGATGCTTTCCAATTCATCTGGGAACTCATCACCGAACTGAGAAGAGAAAACATTTCCCCGAAATTAAAAGACAAAGAAAAAATGAACACAGAACAACCGTATAGACTAACACACATAGAAAGATCGAAATTTCCGAAACAATATTTTTTTTTATGTATCGTTCGACAAATTTCAATTTTTTTTTTCGAACTGGTGAATCGATTTACGAGACGTTCAAGATTTCAACACGCAATTAGACGTTCATTCGTGGGGAAAGTCAGAAGCACGGTAAACTTTACATGCGGTACATTTTAACCAACAGATTTAATAAGAAAATCACGAAAGAAATAATTTCAAAAATTGCGGCATAATGGGAAATTCAAACAAGGTCAAGTTTGCCACTCACCTCAGCAGTAATGTAGAATAAATTGTTCAAAACCATCTCTGTCGCCTCCACGGATCCCATTCCATCTCTGCAAGTGCCCATTCTCGCTGGGGAGTTGTCCGAATTATACTGCAAAGATCCGTGGGTTGACAATTATAATCATTTCAAGAATTGGAGCATGTCCTCCGCGTAAAGACGACATTCAGCAATATCAAAACAACACGCAAAATAAAAAATAATCCCCACCCCTACACACAAACAAGTTAAATAGTACTTTCAACCTGCATAACACCTACTCCAGATGTCTGACATTTGATCATAATCATGTCGACCTTCCTTCCTATCATGCACTCACCAGAAAGTGCCTTCTCCGAATTTTACAAGGACTGTCCATCAATGAATCCGATTCATTTTCTAATGAATCCTTGGAAATCGTGTACATTATTGTAAATTGAAAATGACGGCGAGTGATTGAAGTATTAATACGGGGATATTCTACCGTCTTTCAGCGTTTGATTCTTCGTGAACAAGGCGCTACTATGTGCATATTTCTAAATACTGTACATGAATTGAGCTAAAACCAATTGAAAGATAGATTTAGTGAAAGACTTCTGTCTGAAAAAGTGGATCATTAAAGGCTTTTTGAGACATTACGGTAAATTAATGTGTACTTAATTCAATTTCAATACGAATTCGTGAAAAGTTTGAGCCCCCAGGCCATGGACGGTCCTCGCAAAGATGGTTCGTGAAAACTGGCAAAGCTTGGAAGTAATACAGTAATGCACAAGAAAATGCGGAGAAGTCCTGATTTAATAGACGGAGCGGTACGATGAAGAAATCTTTCGAACTACGCAGGAGATTCAAGACAGCCTTTTCGTTGGTCCTTGTTCAAAGAAAGAAAAACTTTCTCTTTATTCCGTCCTTCCAAAAATCTCATTGCGTCGAAAAGGCGTTTCCACTCTCCCAATTGAAATTGCATTCAATGCGTGCGTGAAAACCATGCGAGAGATAGAGAGGAAATATACCAGTGAGATTGTGCAAAGGGCCCTGCACTACCCTACGCAATTTAGGAACCCCCTCCAGGGAACCGGGGAAACAAGGTTTGGCTTTCAAACCTGAATGTCGTCCAAGGGATTGGCAGGAGGAACGTGTCTGTCAATCAGCTCCATGTTGCTCAGCCAGGGCAGCAAATAAGACAACAATAATTGACGAACCGGTGGACGGGCACTCTTGAACCGATACGTTATCTCTGAAATCATGAGAGAGAATCAAATAACGAAGAAAGGGATCACTGTAAAGTCAAAACAACAGTTCCTTCACATCGAAATTTGGTTATTTTCAACATATTTATCAATTAAAGAATCCATCTGTTGCGGGGTTTCTGAGCAAACGATGGAGAAATAGATGCCATGCATTTGAAGTGAGACCCTAATATGCGGACACACGGACAATTCGATTTAGGAACACTTGAAAACAAAATAGCAGGCTCGACATCTGGAAATTGGCTCGAGTTAGGGACACTTTTCTGAAATTTTCCTAAAAAAAAGGAACAATAAAACATTTGATATCTTTTGAACAAATCAAGCTAATCATATTCAAAAGAATTTAAAAAATATTTCATGATAAATTCACTCTAATTCATAATCAGAAGCAAGCTGATTTTGTGCTTCTTAATTCAGAGTTTTTTTTCTATCATCTGTGCATATTCTAGCAAGACTTACTCTTTTTCTTTGCTTTTTGATCTCCTTTGGATACCAAATGATCAGATTATATGTGGATTTTTCTGTACTGTTGTTTTCTACAACTTGAAGTTGCGGGAAACAATTTGTATAAAAATTTTTTTAGAACTTATTTCTAATTTTTGACAAAATGGAGAACCAATTAAATACATTAACATTGAAGTCTAAGGTAAACTTAGACTCAACTTAGGGACTTTCTGGCATCAGGACACTCTTGAAGCATCAATTACGTCCGCATCTCGGGGTCTCACTTGTACAATATGCATGTGCGCTGGATTCATAATTAAATATAAAAATATATTGTGAAGGTTATAAACAAAGTATTTCAGCTTCAATTTCATATTTAAGCTGCGAATATACCTAAATACACTTAAGTACAAGCTGCGAGTGAAACAGCGGTATAATTTATTATACGAAATCGAATTTTGAATGCTCTTTATCAAGGAAGTTGAAATTCGACAAATATAAGATCTAATGAAATTTGAACACAAAAAGACTGAGGACAAAAGCAATTGAAGTAATTTGACCGCAAGGTGGATGTCAGATAATCTGGGCATAATTACCTGGTCCTTTCCTTGTAATACTGTCCCTACTTCATTGCATAAAATATTTGAAATGCTATTAAAGCGGATTGAAAAAAAAGACAGCTCAAAGAATGATTTGACATACTCTTACGAAAATTGTCGCACGCCTGGAAGTGCGTTTTTCAATCGATCAAAGACGAATACTGTACAGCGGATCAAAGTAAAATCGCCGGGTAATCAAGCCGTTGTCTATACTTTCAGGCATTCAAAATTCGGGCACGGTTCGGTTAACATCGTGCCCGATCAATCCCATCCCAGAAAATATAAGTTTTACAATACCGTATGAAGGAAGAAAAACAAAGCTCAAGATTATTATTCGAAAACTACAAGTGGTTCAACAAGGGAAGAGCTGATAATTAACGCTTTGTACTTCTCGACAAAGAGCCCACGCTTGAGGTTTCTTTCAATTTGAACAAGATCTCCCCCCACGCACAATGGCCATCCATTAGTAAATGAAGGTCAACTTGGATCATATTCCTAAAAATTACGTAAAGAAAAAATATGGTGCTTGAAGTAAGCGAATTGAAAACGTAACATGGATGGAAAACTCACCACTGAAGATGGGCATCGTTAGTTCGGGATGCAGGTAAGCCAATTGTCTCGACAAGTGTATCTGCGAACGACAGTAAACACTAGTCGACAAGGTCTCATCCAACGTTCTCGGCACGCCATGACGTAAACCTGAGGAACACATTTTTCATCAAAAAACGGCAATTTTCCCACACATTCTCATCTTAAAAATTCAACATCATGTGTACGAGAATTTAAAAAACGGAATCCATTCAGAAATTTTCCTCGATGATTTTGATGAATGTCTGAACTGATATTTAATCGTATAGATTATTGTTCGGTGTACTTTCGGCAGTCTAGGTGGTGGCGCCCACTTTTCCCCTTTTTCAAGATAAAACATCAGAAGGCATGCGTTTCTTCCTTTTTTTAATACAACAACCAACAAGCAAATTTCAAGAATTGGATACTGGTTCAGCGTGTTGAAAAAAACAAACACGACACCACGAAAAAAAAAAAAAAAAAAAACCTGTTGAGAATCGGCCTCGGTCGTGAAATTGTCNACAAAACAAAAAAAAAAAAAAAAAAAAAAAAAAACCTGTTGAGAATCGGATTCGGTCGTGAAATTGTCCTAGGGTTGAATCGATGAATCGAAAGGGGGAATCCGATATTTGCCCCGGCAGCCTCGCAAAAGTTCGATACCCGTGATTAATTAGGAATTAAAAATGCGTTACACTGAACAGGGGCCCGGGTCAAACATTATAATCAATCTTACTCGACTACCCACGATTGAGGCATTTCATTCCGAAACCGTCTTACATTACTTTTATGGATCTATGTACTGTACTGTATAGTTCCTCTCGTGGCCCAACGACGAAGAACGGGCCTTGGGGGCACGCATAGAAATTATTCAGCACGAAATGGCGAAGTCGCCGTTAGACCCGTTTCTTTGTTTGAGCGCTCAATTTTCCTCCGCCCGAGCAAACACGGCATACATTGCCCGCCGAATTCAGCGTGCGCTCTTTCGGGAAAGTTTACCAAGAAAACCTGAATCGCGAAAGAAAATAACACCGAAATGGGCGAAACGAGGATTTATCCAACCCCGAGCCGAGAATTCAACCAGGATTTTAGGAGGCTTTGTTTGCACAAACCACTTGACCATTGGACGATGGAAGTAAGGAACCTCGAAAATATTGACACACAGGAACCGTACTTACGTAAGAGAGGGCATTTGCGAAGTTTTCAGAATTATCAATAAATTCGCGAGCTCTCATTTCAGGAGAATTCTTTTTTTTTCGAATTTGCTTTTGAAAGCGTCGCCCAATTTTTATCTTATTCCGAGATCAAACACAAATTCGGTAAGTAAAAAGAATAACTTGACAATCTTGCTTCCGAAACTTGAACCGGAAATTCGGATAAGTCCTCAGCATTAAAAACGCTCGTTCAGGATATCATTTCCCATATGACGACGAATTTTCCTGGCGAAGGGTTAAAACTTCTAAAAATACCTTCAATGAATAATCCCGCGGGACACGCAAAGCATGAACATTTTATGATCGATGAAATTTAAGAGCGCTGAGAAAAGAAAAAAAAATCGACCGCCAAGGTACCTGAAAAATGTTTAGCGAATGAGGACTATTTTAAGCGCCCAATATCACGATATCCCAGATTTTCCAACAACAACAGAGAATGTTAAATTTCCATCGCAGATCATATTTTATTCGCTGACGAAGTAAATTCCTAATTATAATGAATATCAACGTCAAAATATGAACGAGAGCATTCTCCATCTTCAGGCCTCAGTATCGCAAAAAGACTTACAACGATCTAAACTTTTTTAGCGAAGAAAAAACACGATCACACATTTCACGCATAAGAAAATAATTGGGAGGTGCACCAGATTATTTATTGCCAGGCTTTCCTTCCACAATGGTAAACATTCCCAGAACCAGTAAGGGCGAAGTCAAGCAGCAAATTGAAGCGATATAATTCAATTTCGTGATTTTGTCAATCCCCAGGCCTCACTCAAATTCCAAAACTTCCATAGATAGAAAAATTATAATACAGCAACTAATACAAGATTGATTTCGTTCAGCATTGGAAAAAGCACTGACTTCAGAGGGGTCAACTTTTGATACTGAAAATCCCAAACAAGAACAGAAAATGCGTCCAATCAAAGATCGACATCAAGAGAGGAATTTATTTTTCTATACCTGATCTAGTCAAGTAAATGCCCGGAATCCTAACCTGCAGCGCAAAAACGATGCCATTGAGTCGTTGTCATTGATCCATTGAAGAGAAAAAAATGGGGTTTTCATACGACCACCCGCCAGAGATCCACAAAAGCCGAAAGAGGAATAACCTCAGTTCGGAATCCTGTACAGTACTGTACTACACATTCACGCGACTTGTGTTACACGCATCTTCTTCCAAATTTAGACCATAGTTCGAGGAACTTCTCAATCGCGCATCAGCGCGTGCAGATCCATCATAATTCCGAGTTTGTGTCGGAATGGAAAGCAACTCGAGGCGTACACATTATCTCGAGAAAGTAAATATACCCATTATGGAAAAAGGCCAGTTTGTAAGTAAACGTGACACAGAGTACAGTATTGATTCGCTCCTGTTGCTCGCGAAACATCTACGTTTTTCTTTAGCATTCTAAAAATTTGATATGACACTTGCGTCAAATGAACTCGGTAAATGAAAAAAAAAACCTTAGATCGAATGAAAATTACAAAACGAGCTTTTACGACTGCAAAAAAAAAATTCACTCAACATTTTCTGGACTGAAAAGGATAAATTGCTTTGCACGTGGGACTTTCAAAAATGCGATGAGATATTCCAAGAAAAGAAGAAGAGCTAGGATAAGCTCACGGAAAAATTATTGAAGTCATTGAGTACACACTGAAGAAAGTTTTGTACGAAGACAAAATATAGCTGAAGGATGCATCAGGTTATTTTCTGGTGAAGCAAAGCAAAACGTCGTAAATGCAAGATAAAGTCATCGCGTTTTTTTATTACAGTGGAATCTTAATCATCCACGCTAATGATCACATTAAATGTTCCGAACAATCAAAAATCCGTGAAAAAAAAAAAATTTGTCTACTATGACCTACTCCAATTCTTCCAGATTTTGATAAGCAATACGCTTTCTAGACACCATACGATTCTGAAGATTATTAATATTGCGAAATCACGGAAAAATCTGTTGATGCCCACGCCTACAAGGGTTTCCGTTGGGTACACAATCCCGGTCGAAAATACGGGTACAGTATATCACATCAGGAATAATGAAGATGCCCGTTCAACAAGCTTAGTTTTTTCGGTCTGGTGAAGAATGAATCACCGAACACGATTTAAAATTTTTATTCGGAGATCAATTCTTGTGCAACTGACACTAAAATGATTAATTTGTCTTGGCAATCCATTCATCCTCGAGCTAACAATGAAAATAGGGATGAAGCTACAGCAAATGTAGCTGCCCCGGAAAACGTCAACTCTGAACGAAACCAGACAAAATCCTTCTGCCGTGAACAAAACCAGACGAACAAAGTCTGCTGCACTGCTACAAGCTTATCAATCAACAAATGCATCATCTCAAAAAATGCTGAATTTTTCAGCGGGACTGCGGTGATTTATTTTTTCGAGCCGCTTCAACAAGACGACAGCTCCTTGTGCTGAACTTCCAGCTTTCAAAGCAGGAATCCATCTCATGTCTACTTATGCATCGACCATCTCGTTTCCGACGAAGAGTTTCATTTAAATTTTATGCTCGTGCTTCGGCAGAAGTTCTTCAGGAAAGTTCTGAAGCACGTATTCCAAATACCAATGAATAAATCTACTGTACTGCGATAAAAAAATGGATACCTCGAGAGCCTCGTCGGGTTTTCAACTAAACGCGTTTCAACCGTCGGAAAATGAATTCATGAGAATCAAGTTCATACGTCAGACAAAATAAGGTAGTTTCCGATGATAATTTCCTTTTCACTTGGAGATTTTAAAATGAAAAATCCCGGCGGTTGACTCGAGGTGCCGCGGGAAACAAACATTATTCAATTTAGGAATCTGCTCGACCAACATTCGTAAAAAAAAAATCATCGCAAGGTCCCACATGCACAATTATTGCCAATCGGCTTCAAAAATGCTCATTGAAAATGTAAAATCAAATATTTTTTCAAAAAATATAAAAAAGGAGATTCCTCACATGAGAAGAAGCTGTTGAAGAAGATAGCTGAGAATCACCACTCGGGAAGTCTTGAAATACAGACAGAGTAAGAGAGTATATCACCCAAAAACGGAATCTACCATTTGTCACGTTCTTCTTGGTGCTCTAAAAAAGATCAGTCCCTCAAATCATTTCTGATGGCATCTAAACTTCATTTGCTTGCAATGGGATGCGACACATCCACAGAAAATGAACAGAAAAGTTATTTTCCGTAAATTAAAAATTATTGAAGACTCGCAGAAGTATTAAGCACTCTCATATAAAATTAATATCTAACGCTGAGGCATATTTTTTGACTACACATTAAAATATAAGGCCAGTCTTTCATCCACAAAAACCTGGCAACATGAAAATTCGCGGTATTTTTTCTGTTATAACAAATTAAGATGCGGTAAATGATGAACGTCATCCCAGTAAACCGCGAAGATTATTAATTCATTCTAGAACCGACAAGGTCTTGCATACGCATCCAAGAGGAAGCAAGTGCCGCTCACTAGAATTCACGACCTACGCTAAGGAGGAAACTCTCCTCAGTCTCTTTGAATACGTCCAAGAAATTATTGAAAATATGGCGATAGAAAGCGAACGCATGACGTATCATCCGCAGAAGAGCAATATACAAGCATGAAACTACACATTTCAGCATAAATCCCACAAGCTTTGAGAATTAAAAACAACAGCGTCGGGGGTAAGAAAGCGACTTCAGCTTCAGTGCGAAATAATTGAATGTGCGAATCGCACCATTTTCTTCCACACGTTAGACTCAAGTGCCATATTCATCCTTTCACGTTCAACACAAAAATAAAAATAAAATGGCAAGCAAGAATTTCGCGGTGCATAAATTGCAATTAGGAGCAGGTTATCTTTATTCCCGGGGGGGGGGGGGAGAATCCTTTTCCGGGGTTCAAATAATCTGGTCAAGCGCTCTTCCGACAAAAGCATGTTT